CCCCAAAACCCCAAAACCCCAAAACCCCAAAACCCCTTTGTACGAGTTTTTAATTGAAGAGTATAAATAATTTTATTTATAGTAGACATGAAAGACGATTACGGTTACAGGTGAGTGGGTGGCAGAGGGGGTTTGGGTGGGGTAGGGGTGGAGTGGTGGGGAAATTTGGGGGAAGGGGGAGTGGATGGGTGGAAGGGAGGGGAGGGTTGTTGGGGTTTTGGGGTGATAAGGGGGGTCTAAAACGTTATTTCTATTGGAATTTGGGGAATCGTTGGTTTGGATTTGGAGTTGTGAGGGGAGAGAGGTGGACTTATGTTGGATTGGAGGTAGATTAGATGTATTTCTTTATTATTCATGCATTCTAGAAGTGTGGTAATGGAGTATTTAACTTTCCTTACAAATCCTGACTTCCTCTGAACGTATTCTATAATAATTTGATTATAACTTGTTTATAGCCGTGACAGCAATAGAAGAGTAGTTGAATCTGAAGAAATCAACTTCAACGCACCCTCCTTATCTCAATTTGAAGAATTAGGTAAGACTGATTGAAGAAGTATGGTTTTTGTATTTTAGAAAATGAGATCAGCTATAATTGAGTTATTACAAAGAATTATATTCAAAATTATGACTCTCTGACTACTACTGCTTATTATCACAACTCTTTCAATTTTTAACAAAAATTATGAAAAATTACAAACTAGATTTGGCTAAATAATACTCTTTTTTTCTTGAGAATTCTGCGGTCATTAGTATCAGTTTTACTGATATCATACATCGACCAGAATCATAGCTCACTCTCATAATTTATGAAATCTTTCTGTTAAAGCTCTTTAACCTAGCCTAATATCTCGCCAATGGCATCTCCTGGTATTTCTATTTTGATAAGTATGACTGAAAACAGAAAGAATTCACTTTAAAGAAGAAAATTTTCCATTTGTTACTTCTCATTTTAATAACAATCTCATTACTAATTTAGATGAAGTTGAGTACCTAGCAAAGGCTGGCTTTTCTAATTCAATGATTGAAGCCGCCATTGAGGTCAATAACCAGAGAAATTTGAAATATCAAGAAATGGTCACCAAAATTAAGGAAAACGAGCAACAATTTCACGCAGAAAAATATTCAAAAATGAGCTCACTCAAAGATTTTAATGCGTATGAAAACATGCCTGAGCTCAGAATGAGTGCGATGATGAATCGACGACAACAAGACCCTATTAACCAATTTAATGAAGAGTCCCAAGTGCTTTCACTAGGAACTTATAAAAATGGGGATGAAACTGAGCAAAGATCAGGATTAATCAAGCAAGGATACTATCAACACTTCAAAGGGAATGAGTACCCTGGAGATCAAATCCAAACTCGTAACCTTTACCAAAGCATTAAAGGAGAGAATGAGCTCTACATTGATGGTACAACTTCAGAGGTTAACAAATTAGGCCAAACTGACTTCAGAAATCAGCTTGATAGTAATATCTTCCCCGGTCCTATTAGACAGAAAATTAAAGGAAACAAATACAGAAAGAAATCAAAATTGAAGGAAGCAAAGTTGTTAAAAGGCAAGGAAAGTGTCAATAGTAATTCAATCAATAAACCAAAAGCTTATAAATTAGGACAGGTAAGTAAGGTCTCAAGAATCATTCTTCTCATGATTATTTCTAATACCTTAATAGACTAAAGCTAGGTTGGAAGCAAGTGAATCAACAGCTAAGAACAGTTCAGGCAAATCATCCTCTAACAGCTTTATTTTTATGAAAAATAACCCTCACTCACTTAGAAAGGCAAGTAGTAATGTGCCTAACATTGGGGATGAACAACAGGATAATCAAGATCAAATCAGCACAAGTGGTAACTAAAATGTCTAATGAAATTTAGATAAAAATACTGGAGCAAGTACTCAACCTACGACGATAGGAGAAAAGGCTTCAATGCTAAAAAGTGGAGCAAAGGTTAAATAACATTGAGGTAACCCCAAAAATACGTACTAATCAATTGAAGACAAGATCAAAGAGGGACATGTCTGCTAACCCAGCAGCTTTAAGAAATAAAATCCAGAATGAGATTTCGAGATTAGAGAAAATAGGCTGAATAAAGAACTTACCAAAGACATGTGTCGATACTATATTTAAATATAAAAGAATTAAATTCATAGCTAATACTCCTGAAAGTGACCAAATTTGGTCAATCAGATCACCTGAGCTAAGGGATGAATACATTCGTAAAGACCAGCTTAAGCAGGGAAATAAATTTGTCAAATCCTGTAAAGTTGTGTATGATATGAGTGAGAGCAGTCCTTACTATACTGACTCAAATAAACCTTACATTGATCCGATGAAGCTACTTCCTGTCAAAGACAATGGACAGACAATACCCCATAGGAGGTTTAAGGCTGCGGGCTTCAGAAGGGGCCTAATCAACACAGGAATTCCGTTCAAAGATAAATACTACCTTGATTTAAATCCATTCTACGTACCGGAAGATGCCAATGATGCCACTCTAGTGTTTGAAAGTAGATTCGAAAGTGGAAATCTCAAGAAAGTCATCGTCACTGGTGAAGATGAATATGATTTATATTTACGAAGTGACTATAACTCTCAGGGATATGGCCAATGGTACTACTTCAAGGCTTCAAACACAAGAGCCGGGAAAACCTACACTTTCAATTTGGTTAACCACTTCAAGCCAGATTCATTGTACAACCAAGGTATGAAGCCTTTGATGTATTCTACCAAGAAAGCAAAGAACGAAGGAATTGGCTGGCACAGAGCTGGAGAAAATATTTGTTATTACCCAACTGGGACTAAGAAGAAAAGCGGGGGAGGTGTTTATTACTGCTTGTCTTTTAGCTTCGAGCTAGAGTATGATAATGATGATGTGTTCTTCGCGCACCATTTTCCGTACACTTATCGAGACTGCAAAGAGTTCCTTAAGAAAACCTGTAGCGAAAAGAAGTCCGATCGTGTCAGACAAACCGAGTTGTGCAAGTCGCTGGGTGGCAACAGTCTGGACTACGTAATCATCACCAACTTCGAAGCTCCAGACGAAGACATCGCCAAGAGAAAGGCTGTCATCATCACTGGAAGAGTGCACCCAGGCGAGTCCAACTCGAGCTTCATCGTGGAGGGGATGCTTCAGTACTTGGTTGGAGACTCAGACGTGGCTAAAAGACTCAGGAATAGGTATGTATTCAAGGTAAGAATTTTATCGTGTGATATCTAATATTTTCATTGAAGCTTGCGCTTGAACTGTTTGCCATTCCTACTAAAAATTAGCTTTTCTTCTATAAGCCCTTGGTTTAACAATCTGATGTTGTTCACTTACTTTACAAATCCTGAAATACTTTATAAGCTACTACAATTAGCCACTAGTCAGCACCTAAATCCCAAAATATGGACTTTCGTTCTAAATTTAAGCATGTTCTTCAGTACTAATGTTTCCGTCTCTTTTCTTCGCTATACAAACATTGTTCTTACCTCCGAATCCAAGATTGTGCCCATGCTAAACCCAGATGGAGTCGTCCTTGGAAACTATAGGTGATCTCTCAGCGGACAGGACCTTAATAGACAATGGGTAGGAGCAACCGCTAGATTATTTCCAGAAATTTTCTACACCAAGCAGATGCTGAACAAGACAATGCAGAGTAGAGCAATCTTCTTCTTCGTAGATGTCCATGGTCATTCAAGGAAGAAGAACTTATTCATGTACGGGTGTCATAACAAAACTTCTGATAAGAATGCTGAAAAGTTATTCCCACTGGTGTTTTCTAAAACCCATTCTTCGTTTTCCATCGATGATTGTAATTTCAATATCCAGAAAGATAAAGAGTCTACAGGAAGAGTTGTTATTAGGAGAGAGTATGATGTAGTTAACAGCTTCACATTGGAGTCTTCCTTCTGAGGTCCGAATGTGGGCAAAAAGAAAGACACTCATTTCACACCCAATCAACTTAGAGAGGCAGGCAAAGACTTTTGAATAACTCTTGACAGGGTAAATGATGAAAGAATACAAGTTGACCTTCTTAAAGAACTGCAGTCTTCGATTATTCCTTCTAATTCTGAAATAGAGAATATTCTTAAAGAGTATGGCTCGAGTAAGTCAGATGAAGAAATAGAAGATGATGAAACTCTTCGCCAAAAAGCAATTAAAACTGAGCAAAAGCTCTCTTGTAAAGGCAAGAAGCTTAAATCTGAAATGAAGTCTTTTAGCAATCTTGAGACTTTATCACTTACCCACACTGTTGGGATTTCAAGAGGCAAGACTGAGAAGTTAGAATTAGAGTCAAAGCCTCACTCAACTACTCCTTTCTTTAGGACAAAGAGTATAGCTCCTAAATCTGCAGGAAAAATATAGGAAGTCTTATTATATAAATCAGACATATTTAAAATCTCTTTTCGGGGTTTTGGGGTTTTGGGGTTTTGGGGTTTTGGGGTTTTGGGGTTTTGGGG